AACTGTCTGAATAATAAAGCACAAACCTTTTTTTTCAATGAAATAAGACTGTTTTAGTTACATTTCTCTTGTTGCTGGGGGTGAAATACCTGAAACCCAAAATGAAGAAAGGAAAGGGTTATTTAGCTCACTGTGGAACTTTCAGTCCATAGTCAGCTGCTGCGAGGCCGCCATGGAGGCGACACTTCAGGGCAGCCGCAGAGCACAAGGGGGAAGAGCAAACCTCTTTTCCTCCCTTACCTTGTACACAGGCCACTTCTCTTCCAGGACGGTGTAGCGCTCACAAAATCTCTGTGCCCTCCTCTTGCACAGGATGAGAATATTTACAAAGTAAGGATCCTGGCTCCCTGCTGAGTGTCTTAGTTAAACTTTTAAACTTCTCAAATTGACACAGTGAATCAACTGTAATAAAGACAAATTGGTAGTATAACTGTCCTTTGTGTACCTATATATGTATTTTTCTGCTTTTCCCTTCTTTTCTCCTGTCTCCATCCCAGTTTTTCTTTCCTTTTAGAACAATTTCTTCTCATTTTGCAGTATCTAATGTACATAGCGGATCTTACTTTCTCTTTCATTTTTTTTTTGTCCTTTTCGTTTTTATCGGTACCAGGGATCGAATTCACGACTGCCTGCTTGCAAGGCAGACGCTTATGCTGCTGAGCTAAATCCCCAACCCCTCTTCCAGCTTCTTACACTAGGGAGAAAATATGATGTTGGCACATGTGAATCTGGGTTATTTCACTGATGAGTATGGTCTTGAGTTGCATCCATTTACCAATAAAAGTCTCCAGTTTATCCTTTATGGCTGGGTAGTATTCCACTGTATAAAAAAGAGCACTTTTTTTTGTCTGTTTGAGTTTGATGGGCACTTGAGTTCTTTCCAAAATCTAGCCATTGCAAATTTACTGCTATAAACATGGGCACACATATATTGCTGTGGTAGGATGTTTTTAATTCTTCTAGGAAGACATTCAAGAAAGGGAAGAGTTGGGTCAAATGGGACCTCCAATCCTACTTTTCTTGAGGAATTTCAACACTGATTTCCACAGTGGTTGCACCAATCTGCCCTTCCACCAATGGAGAAGGGTTCCTTTTTCCCCACAGCCCTTCCAGCATTTGTTATTGCTTGATTTCATTTTTGTTGGTGGTGGTACTGGGGATCGAACTCACGACTGCATGCTTGCAAGGCAGGTGCTTATGCCCCAGAGCTAAATCCCTGGCCCTTGATTTCTTGATAATAGCCATTTTTTCTGGGGTGAGGTGGGATTTCAGTGTTGTTCTGGTTTTCATCTCCCAAATGACCAGTGATATGGAACATTTTTTTCATGCATCTATTTGCTGTTTGTATTTCTTCATCTGAGATGTGTGTATCCATCTCAGATGCTCATTTTAGAATTGGGTCTTTAAATTTGGGAGGTCTGATTTTTTTTTTTTTTTTTGAGTTCTTCATGTGTTCTCCATAGTAATCCTTTGAGGAACAGCTGGTAAAATTTTTTCCCATACTGTGGGTTGTCTCTTCACTCTGTTTGTGATTTCTCTTGCTAGGCAAGAGTTTTTCAATAAGATGAGATTCTAGTTCTTGTTTCTGTGCGACTTCCTGTGTGATTAGGGTTTTGTTCATGAAGTCTTGACCTACACCAGTGTCTTCAAGAGTTTTATCTACCCTGTCTTCCAGAAGCTTTAATGTTTTTATTTTAATATTAAAATCTTTGATCCATTCTGATTATGAAAGATGTGGGTCCCATTTTAATCTTTGGCATGTGCAGAGCTAGTTTTTCTGGTACTGTTTATTAAAGAGGCTCTGCCAGTGAATGTGTTTGGCACCTTTGTCAAAGGTAAGGTGGCGGAGTGTGTCTGGAGTTGTTTTTGCATCTTCTAATCTGTTCCATTGATCTTCAGGTCTGTTTTTGTTTTTGTTTTTGTCAGTACCATGCAGTTTTTATTACAGCAGCTTTACAGTATAATTTCAAGTCAGGGTTTGTGCCTTGCCTTTGCTGCTCAGGATTGCCTTTGGTATTCTACTTCTGGTTCCAAATGAATTGTAGGACTGTTTTTTCTAATTGCTGTGTTGTTGGAATTTTGATTGGAATTGCATTGAATTTGTATGACAGTTTTAGAAGTTTGGCCATTTTCCCTAGATTAGTTCTTCCTACCCAAGAGCCAGGGATATCTTTTCATTTTATCCTCTTCACTCCCTTTTTTCGGAGTTCTGTATCTTTTACATCCCTTGTTAGATTGATTGCTAGGTATTTCATTTTTTGATGCTTTTGTGGAAGGTGTTGTTTCCTTAATTTCTGTCTCATTGAGTGTGTTACCCACGTAAAGGAAGGCTGCTGATTTTAAGTGTTGGAGTTGCTGCCTGCTTGGCCTACCTCTGGTTCTTTGGCCCTGTGTCACAATATTTTTTTTTTTTTTTTTTTATGACCCTTAATCAGGCTCAGTCTTGGAATACCAGAAAAAATAGCTGTTTAGAACAATTACATCACTTTTGGGTAAAGTGCTACCATCAGCAATAACAATAGCATCAAGCACAGCCTAGAAATTGACGAACTGTGGTGACCATTAATTTGCTACTTTAACTGTATGGAGTAGATTTATGGTTATATAACAAAATCTAAAACCAGAAAATTATATGTAGCTTATAAGTTCTAAATATTTCAGTTTTGTTCTTAAGGCTTACAATTTAAAAGAGGTTAGGGAGAAAATAAAGAAATGGAAGCAGGCAAAGAGATTAAAAGTAAGGTTGATGGACAAAGAGGAATCATGGTAACTTCAAGAAACTGGTGCAGAAGACTGGAGGAAAATAGAGAAGGAAGAGATAAAAAAGAACAGCAGATCAACCACAAAGAGGCTAGAAACCACATTCTCACTCATAAAGACAAGCATGAACAATGAAGGAGAAAACAAACAAACAAAAATAATACCACAAGAGTAACAAAAACAAGAGAGAGAGAAAAAAAGAAGTCCATTTCCAGGTTTGTCTCTGCTGTCACTGTAGACAGCGTGAGGAGACAGAATCCCGATGTGAGCTGATCTATCCCAGCAAGCCAGCAGTAGCTTTTTGGCAGGGTAGTGGATTATCTCAGTGAGCCTGCGCTTTCTGAAGGAGACTAGACTCATTTGGCTTGCCACTGTCCGGGCACCATTTAGGGGCCTGAACCAGGTGGGAGCTGCTAGATGGTGCCACAGCAGTTCTGAGTTCTGAGCTCCTCGGCTGGCCCCTCTCCTAACTGGTGTCTGTCCAGTAGTTCCCTACCATGGGATGACCGAGCCCTTGGCATTCACCGCTAGTCAGTACAGCCCTTTATGTCTGCTGCTCCCCTCCACTGCTGAATCTCGTCTCTCTGTGGAGGTCTCTGGGGTCGCCAGAAGTCACTGTGTGTCCACAGGTTCGAAGTGCTTCGCATGCAGTGAATCCTATCTCAGGAAGAAGCACCACCAGGTATCTCCTTCTTCCTTGCTGAAATTTCTCTCTTCACTCTGCAGGCTTCAAGCTGTGCATCCCCATCTTTCCTGGATCCAGGGGACCCACTCTTCTCCTCCTCATCTTCCTCCCTGTACTGTATTCTGGCATCTGGACAGTGACTCTCAGTGAGACTTGTTCTCTCTTGTTTACCGCTCTGCCATCTTGGTGCTCTTTTGGATACTGTATTTCAGCTTTCTATTGCTGGGACTAAATACCTGAAGTCTGCAACTTAAAGGAGAGGTTTATTTGCTCATAGTCTCAGAAGTTTCAATCTGCTGGTTCCAAGGCAGAAACATGGCCAGGGGGGTCCAGCAGAGGAGGGCTGTTTAACTCACTCCATGCAGAGGCAGGGGCAGAGCCTGAGGGATAGGGCTAGGAGCCAGATGGAGTCCCCTCCCGGTAGGACTTCCTTCCCGATAGTCCAGTCGGAAATGAGCTTGGCAATGGGTTAATCCCTGATAGAGGGCAGCACCCTCACAAACCAGTCACCTCTGCAGCTGTCTCTGAATCCAGTCAAGTTGACAATGTCAGTTACCTGGCACAGACACTGTTCTTGTTACATCACCACGTGGTCTAATTTGTGTCTTGCAGAGTTGGCAGGCAGTGCAGTAGCTTACAGACCGTGTAGCTTCACTGAGCTCTTCAAGCTGTGTGGTGGCAGCCTTCCAGCTTCTTCTGGTTTGGCTTTATGAATGTCTGCCTGGTGTAAAGGCTGGTGCTGCGAGCCATGGGAACCCTGTCTTGGTGTTTCATGGCCTCCCCTCACTTGGCGTGTGAGCTCCCCCTACGTTTGTGAAGCAGAACTGCAGGACTTCCCTGCAGACCTGTGGAGTGTCTCTGCTCTGTGTGACATCCTCCCTGTAGCCTTAGCTGCATGGTTCAGCTGACTGCCCTGGAGGCCTGTCTCTCCCTTTTGGGTTGCTGTGCTCTGCGTGGCGCCTGTCTTCACTGAGCTCCATCCCTGCCTCCCTCAGGATGGGGTGTGGCATTGGGGTTCGGTCAGCTGGTTGTCCTGTTTCAGGGAGCACATGTGGACTGCATGTTTACTTGTGTCTGAAAATCACAGCTGTGTATATTTTGTTGTTTTCTAACCATTGATGTAGTAGGGCAAATCTCAGATCATTTTCTCATTTATGACTGAAATCAGAAATTCTTTTTTTTCCTGTGTTAATACATTGGTAAATCATAGTGGCTGTAGCAGATATTTTCTGTAAAGTATAGCATCAAATGTGGATTTCAGATGTTTTTTCTGCATATGAGTGAATGTACAGTAATGTGAGTGAGATGAGATGAATATACATTTCCTCTTTGCTGTAATTTTTTTTGGGTAGTGGCAATCAAACTCAAGACCTTGTGCTTGCCAGGCAGGTGCTGCACTGCTGAGTTATATCCCCGGCTCCCTCCTTTGCTGTATTGATGCTCGGTTATATAGATACTGAACCATTCTTGTGCTCTACATTAACTCTTTCATTTTGGTATTTTGATTCAGTATCATTTTAATGTTTGATATTTGATATCTGTTTGATATTCCTAGAGTGGATGGTGACCTCCTTGCTGGACATTGCACAGGACAAGACCTCACCAGGCACCCTTGTACATCTGGCTTTTAAATTTCTTTACATCATCACCAAGGTAACATTTATGTGGCACCGCAGAGTCTGTGGATGCTTTTGTAATGTACTTGGTCCAGAGGTTGCTCTCCAAAATGCTTATTCTCAGAAAACATCATTCTTAGACATGACTTAGAGTTTTTTTCTTTCTTTTCTTTAACCATATGTTTGGGGGCTCAGATCTTAGTGATTGAGGCAGGCAGTTAGCAGAAGCAGAGTTTTTACAAAGGAGAAAACAGAAGAGCTTGGTAGAAGTGGAGGGCCTCTTGACTTTCCTGCGTGGATGAATTTCCTGGGGTAGCTGTCCACTGCATAGCCTGGGGAGGTTAGGTGGGGTCGTGGTTTTCCGCAGGGGAAACCTGCGGGATGCCTGGTATAGGCCCACACTGGTGTTTGCAGATCGGACTATGGGAGGGATTCGGGCGCCTTCTCATATAGCTCCACAGCTCTCCTTCAGGGACAGGGCCTGGCTGGCAGGAGGACACTGTGGATATTTACAGAAGACTCAATGAGTCAGTGTGGTGGTGCTCACCTGTAAGCCTAGCCCTTAGGAGGCCGAGCAGGACTATCAGCATGAGTTGGAGGCCACCCTGAGCTCAAAGACAATAACAAAACAAAACAAAATACTAAGAAGTGTTAATGAATCTGAGGGTCTGTGAGGTTTATGGGGCATACGTCTCTAATGTCAGAGGACAATCGTGTGAAACAGGCAGAGACACCATTTTTGTTTGTAGCATATCTTTGTTTCTGTCTTCCAAATACTGTCCAGGCCCGACCCTGCTTGGCTTTTGAGGTCACATGAGATCATGTGGTACAGACGTAGACAATTGTGTTTCTGATGGGCCACTTGTAAGGTTGGATAGCTACATAGGGACTGTGTATAACAAATGAAATTATTTGGGAAGCGAAGAGCGCCCTCTAGTGACATCTTTTGGGATCAATGCAAAATGACCCATTCTGTCCAATCACTGGGGCATAGATGGTGGTTTTTTTTTTTTGAGATATGGTCTCACTCGGTAGTGCAGGCTTGGTTTGAACTTGCCCAGGCTGACCTCAAACTCATGGTGATCCTCTTGCTTCAGCCTCCCATGTGCTGGAGTTCAGGCATGTGCCACCATGCAAGGTGGTGCCTTTTTTTTTCTTTTGCTTTTTTTCTGTTTTTTTAAGATAAGGTTTTGCTCTACTGGCCTTAAACTCTCATGTAGCCCAGGCTGGTCTCGAACTTGTGGCAGTTCTCCTGCCTTTGCCTCTCGAGTGCTGGAATTACAGGCATGTGCCACCATGCCCTGCTAGGTGGTGGTTTTTGATGAAAAGGGAGAAGATAGCTTTGCTGCTTTCTGTGTTTTCTAATCACGCAGTAATTCAGTGTCTTTATTTGGTAGGTTCGAGGATATAAAATATTTCTTCGTTTATTTCCTCATGAAGTAGCTGATGTACAGCCTGTGTTAGATATGATCTCGGAACAGAACCCCACAGACCATGAGGTGAGCCCTGACCTTGCTGTCTCCACTCCTTGCTGGCAGCTCTATCTCCTCTTCCCTTCAGTTTTATCTTCCCTTTCCCTTTGGTTTCTACAGGATTGCTTTAAATTATTCTCCTTTGTAGAGAAAACAGCGTGTGCTATGTTGGGTCTACTGTGATTCCCTGGGGAGACCTCGGGACTCAGGGCACTCATTCCATGGCCTCTGGTGGGTGACAGTAGGGACACAGAGCGAACTCAGCCAAGGTGGAGTTGGGTGCTCCCCTGGTCACATCTCACAGGCACTTGTTCCCCAGCTGGTCTCGAGATCTGGTGCCCATGTTTTCCCTGGCTGTTCATAAAGGCCCAGGCTGGTGCGCACATGGGAAGGCAGGTGCTCAGCACACACCAGGTGGTGGCCAGCTGTCCACCTCATGAGCCTCAGCCTGCTGAGTCCTAGCCCGGGATGCCAGTGCCCCACATGTGTGCCCTGCTGCACACATGCACATAGAAAAGCTCAGCTTCCTCTGGGTCACACATTGCCTCATCTCAGCTGTTCCAAACTGAGTGGAAAACTCCTGGGCCTTTGCTGCTGTCCTCTGCTGGCACCCTTCTTTTCTTGCTCTTCTGGGACCCCTGTGGACCCTTACTTATTGATTACTGAAAATAAGGTTATTCTTTTTTTTTTTTTTTGTGGTGCTAGAGATTGAGGCCTGAGCCTTGTACATGTTAGACAGTTGCTTTACAACTGACCCCTCGGGGTACTCCTTTGTTTAGAAAGAAGCCTACTGGTGTTTACCTTTTTTTTTTTTTGAGACAATGCAGACATTGGTGCAGAACTTCACAGCAGGTTGCTGGGATAACAGTAATAAGTACCATAGTATATCTCGTTATCTTCACAATAGCTGTCCATTCAATCAGGTATAGCAAAATCAAACCAAGTATAGAACATTATAAAACCTATCAAAATAGCATATTAAATAGAGCAAAACAATTAAATCAGAACAAAGCAAAACAATGAAAATAATATTTGCCTTCAAAGAGATGGTAGAAGGAAATCCCCCATATTTGCTATATTGCATACGGTCATCCTCCCAAGATGCTCAGACCTCTGGCCCCCAGTTGCTAACAGGGGAGTGGGGAGGAGGATGGGATGTTTGATTCCCAGCCCGCACGCTGGTAGGCTCACAGGAGACTCTGGCTGGTTCTCTTCCTGGTTCACCTGACACTCGCTTGAGCCACAGCTGCTTACCAGGAAGGTGGGTAGGTTGCTTTCTTGCTCAGCACCCTAAGTTCCAACATGGCTGGATCTCGGGAGATGCTGACTGGTTGGTTCTCTTCCTGGCTCATCCAGACCCAGGGTACTCTTAAGTTGCATCCCTGGGTGTTTTGCTAAGGCTGACCTCAAACTTATGATACTCCTGTCTCAACCTTCGGAGGAACTGGGATCCAGTATGCACCATTATGTTGGATTTTTTTGCCCCTTTTCAAAAGGCAGAGATTGCATTCTGACAGTGTCTGTAAGGAGCAGCCATTCTGTAGATGTGATCTTTCCTGTGTTCACTCTGATGTTTGCTTTCTTGCCAAGTTAGCTGAGACCTGGGTGGATGTGCATGGTGGGGTGCCGGAGGGATGTGGGGTGGGCTGATGGGCGTCTGCCTCCTTGGCTTTTGGTTGAATGGCATTGGTGGGCTAAGGAAGGGCAGCAGGACTATCTGGGGGATGTGATCAGTTCTGTTCTTCCATTCTCTCCGTGACTTGGCCTCTTAGACATGGGAGACCCGCTACATGCTTCTGTTGTGGCTTTCCATGACCTGCCTGATCCCTTTCGACCTTTCACGCCTTGATGGAAACCTGGGTGCCCAGGCTGGGCAGGTGCAGATGCCCATCATGGACCGTATTCTGCAGATAGCAGAGGTGGGTGTGACTGTGTGTGACCAGTGGCTAGTCCTGTCCCCTCTCATGATAAAAGTTGATGCTTTCCTAAAGCTAGAGTGTAATTAGGCAAGCTTTTGGTGTTTATCGGTTTCTTTAACTGCTAGTATTGTTTCTCAATGAGTTAAATTCTGCCTAAACTTACTTTGAAATTGTGATAGCTCAGAGATCAGTTTTACATTAGCATACATTCTTTATAAATGATGCAAGTACTCTGTTAAGCATTAGAAAGGATGAGAACTTTAGTGGTAAGAGAAATTAAAGAGTCATTTTATATTTGACTTTTAATATTGTATAAATAATACACTATCATTGTATGAAACCGAGAGTAAAACAAGAATAGTAATTGAAACCTGTTAAATTCTTGTAGTCCTACTTGCTTGTCAGTGACAAAGCTCGAGATGCGGCTGCTGTCCTGGTGTCCAGGTAAGTCCTATGGGCCCTGGGATGTGCTGGTGACGTGTGACTAGGCAGGGGTCTAAGGAGGTTGTAGTGCTCCTCAGGCCCGCTTGCTGTGTTCCAGGGGAACATGAGGCTCGGTGGTGGCCACAGACGACACCCAAGCCTGGAAGTTACCTCAGTGCAGCCTGGTGCCTGCCTGGTGCCAGTCAGGGCTTATACATGCAACTGTCCTGGAGTGATGGCATCCCTGGCATTTGAGAATGGCTCAGAAGAAGTCACATTGAGTCTGTGAGTGCAGGAGCACCCCAGGCCTTGTGGTTGGGATAAAGATTCCAAGAATTCCCTTGCCTTTACAAACACATGAGGGAGGGGAGAGGACTGAGACCAGTGGGAAGGCTGCTCTAGCCTTTCCTGGGGTTTCAGAGAGTGTATCAGACATGCCTGGAGGTCTCTCTCTCTCTCTTGGTACTGGGATTCAACCAGTGTCTTCATACTAAGCTATATTTTATTTTTCATTTTGAGGTGGGGTTTGCTAAATTGTCAAGTTGCCAGGCCAGGCTCAAACTTGTATTTTTGTTTGCTTTTGTTGTTGGTACTGGGAGTTGAACTCAGGACCATGTGCTTGCCAGGCAGGCACAGTGCCACTAAGGTACATCCCTGGCCCTTGAGCTCAAACTTGTAAACCTCCTGCCTCATCTTACTTATTTCTAGGATTATAGGTATATGTTACCACCCCCAGTGTAACTCATGATTTGAAATGTGTATATGGTTAAGTCAATTAGAAAACGGCATTTTTTTCTCTAGCTATGTTGGTGACTGTTGAAAATTGGTCATAAAACCTCACGATGGTTTTGACTGAGAGAGTGGACTGAGCCTCTCTCACTTAGGTGTGTGGACTGAGCATCTCCCAGGTCTCCGTGTGTCAAACTTAGGGTGCTGAGCAAGAAAGCATGTGAACGGGTGGCTCATTCCTCGGCCCCAAGTGTGCTATGGCATGGCTCTGTCATGTCCCTGTACAGTGGCAGAGGCTCTTGGTGAGTGGGGCGTCAGAAGCCCTCACAGCACCTTTGCCTGGATGGGGGTCCAGAGGTGTGCAGCTGAGTGGCAGGGTCTGAGGGTAGAGGGTGGATCCTTGTCCAGGCCTCTCCTGGGGTCAGCTCCTCTGACAGGATAGTCTTACATGGGTACTCCTGTTGCATGGAGTATTGTTTTCTATCTTTTGACTTTCAGTCTGTGAATTTCTTTTTGAATTAAATGTGTTTCTTGGATGCAGCATATTGTTGGATCTTGCTTCTTGATCCATTTTGCTAGTCTGTGTCTCTTGACTGATGAATTGAGACCATTAACATAAAGGTTATAACTGATAATGTATTGACTTATCCTTGTCACGTTATTTTCCTGTTGTTGGTTCCCCTTCCTTTTTCCCCCCATTTGTCTAATTGTTTGCCTCCCCTAGTGGATTCCTTCTGTTGGCCCATAGAGCTACAGTTCTTATTATCTCTTTCTAGAATGTCCTTCAGAACATTTTGAAGCACTGGTTTGGTAGTTATGAGTTTCTTTTTTTTTTTTTTTTGTCTTTTTCATTTTTATCGGTACCAGGGATTGAATTCACGACTGCCTGCTTACAAGGCAGGCGCTTATGCCGCTGAGCTAAATCCCCAGCCCCAGTTATGAATTTCTTAAGGTGTTTACCGTGAAAGTATCTTAGTTCTCCATCAAATTTTTTTTTTCACTGTGCAGTTCAGGCTGGCCTTGTGTTCACTACATAGCCCAGCCTGAGCTCAGACTTGCAGTGATCTTTCTGTCTCAGCCTCTGTATGTACCACCATGGCTGGCTCTCCATCAGTTTTGAAAGATAATTTTGCAGGGTGCATCAATCTGAGTTGGAGGTTGTCTTCCTTTAGGGCTTGAAATATTTTACTGCAAGCCTTCCTCAACTTGAGGGTTTGTGCTGAGGAGTCTGCTGTGACTCTGGGCTTTTCTTTTTAGGTTGTTGTGGTCAGGATTTGCAAGGGAATAGATTTGATATAAGACATGATTTTTTTTAAGACACATGACTTATAGGATTATTTTATAATACCCAGAAAGTCAAATGCAAAAGAACACAAGAGATCTGTCCATGCATAAGAGACCCAAATAATCCAGCAGAGGGCTTACAACCCATGGCTATGTCCTTTACAAGTCTAGCTGTGGATCTGGAGCCCACAGCATTATCCCATGCAAGTCTGTACAGATGATCTGCACTCGGAAGGCCCAAAGACTAGTGGTGGAAGCTAGAAAGTCTGTGCAAGAGGAGTGAAGGATCTATATCAGCAGTCTGAAGGATCTGTGCTGGAACCTGGGAGGTAGGGACTACAGCTCATCCAACATTTGAGAACATCTGAGTTCATAACAGGAAAACCAGCGTGACAGGTTTCTTTAGGAGAACCAACAATACATCATATTCCCTCCAATTCTTTTATGCTTGTTGGTAACAATCCTAGAGCTGTGCTGATTTAGTTTGGTTGAGTGTTACATTTTGATCACCCACCACTGGTCAACCGGATAACCAGACATTTCCTTAAACTAGAGTCTCCAGTGGCAAATTTGTGAAATGTTAACATGTCTTAAATCTATTTAGATTTACGTTAGTATAACAGTTACATATATAGAGTTATTGTTGTACTCATTTCTACACCAAAAGCAAATATTCAAAGGGTTCTCAAAGTTCAGGGTTAAAACCACATACTTTAGGTAAATAACCTGATTACAAACATGTATCTAAAAACTACATTAAACCCTTATTAAGAGAGCTATTATAATCACAATCCTTGCTTCCCATTAACTTTTAACAGCAGGACCTGGCAACACTTTAGTGAAAGGGACCTCCTGCAGCTTACATACTCTTCCTTGCTGGTACAAGGCCTCAGGTCATTTTTCTTTTTCTGTCCTGTTCCTTCTCAACAACCACGTTCTCCTGTGTTTCATTCTTGCAATCCACAGCTCTGCTGGAGCCTTCCTATGGCCAAATGCTTCAAACCACCCTGCTGGCTCTTCACTGTTGATTTTGATTATCGATCCAGCCAAAAGCTCTCAGCAGTAACCATACCACCATCCCAACAGTAGACTGAGTTGAAATTTTTCTGCCCCCCAGGCAGCATCTCTGTAAACACAAGCAAAGTACAGGCCAACTTCATGCTTAAGTGCAATAGGCAGCACCTGAGATTTTTTTTTTTTTTTTTGTCTTTTTCATTTTTACCGGTACCGGGGATCGAACTCACGACTGCCTGCTTACAAGGCAGGCACTTATGCCGCTGGGCTAAATCCCCAGCCCCTACACCTGAGATTTTAGCAGCCTCATCTTACCTGGCAGCGATTGCATCAGGTCTCTGATTTCCCAGACTCTGAGCAGAGTCTCTAATGTATGCGTTTTCTTTTTAATCGGTACCCGGGATTGAACTCACAACTGTATGCTTGCAAGACAGGCTCTTATGCCACTGAGCTAAATCCCCAGCCAAAGTCTCTAATGTAGTTTACAGGGGGCTGCCACTTCAGCCAGTCTCTCAAAACCTTTCCAAATTAATTCCCAAGGCTCTTAAGCCAGGCCACATCACAGCAGTGGTCTCTCTCCTGGTACCAATTCTGTTGCAGTCAGGGAATATATTTAGTGCAGGATATATAATATATAGGATTATTTTGTAATACTCACCCAAAAAGTCAAATGCAAAAGAATGTAAGAGATCTTTCCATGCATTAGAGACTCAAAAATCCAGCTGAGGACCTTGGTCCCTTGGCAGTATCCTGAAGGAATCCATCTGAAGACCTAGAGCCCATGGCAGTGTCCTCCACAAGTCCATCTGGAGGCCTCGAGCCCATAACAGTGTCTGAGGCAAGTTTGTGTCAAGGATCTGTTCTGGGAAAGCTCAAATGTCAGTGGTAGAAACTAGAACATGTCCAGCAGGATGAAAGATCTGTGCCAGCAGGCTGAGGGATCTGCACTGGAGCCAGGAAGTAATACTCGAGGTAAGGACCAGAGCTCCCCCAAAAAGAACCACAGCCATCCTCAGTAACAATGAGGACTGAGCTCCTCTGACAATGGAGAACAGCTGAGTTCATATCAGGAAAACCAGTGTGACAGTTTTCTCCAGGAGAATCAATAACACACTCTCTTCCCCTCCAGTTCTCTTTTATGCTGTTGGTAGCAATCCTCAGGTGGGCCTTCTATACCTGGAACCACCATGTTGATTAAGTTCAGGTGGGTGTTACAAGTTGACCCTTAGTTAATCCACCTTGTAGGTGATTTTTTTTTCCTCTAACAGCTTTTATATTCAGTTCTTGTGTTGAATTTCTGGAATCTTGACTATTATATGCCTTATGTGTAGATGTTTTTTGTTCATAGGTAATTAGAGTTATATATGGCTTGCCTTTCTGTATGTCTTTTTCACTGCTTGGAAAGTTTTCTGCTGTTACTTCTGTGAACAGATTTTTTTTAATGTTGTTTGTGTTACCTCCTGTCTTTTCTTTGATTCCTATCAGTCTTATGTTTTTTTTCTTTGCATCATCACAGCTGCTGTATTGGTTTTCCGTGGTCCCTTGCTATTTTTAAGAAATCTTTCTTTTCTTGATTGCTAACTGCTATCCTGTCTTCTGTATCTGAGAGTCTGGCCTTCCTTGGCTCATTCCGCTGCATATACTTTCAATGAAATTTTTCATCTCCTGGGTATCTATTTAAATGTTTCATTGATTCCATTGTGTTACTGTGTTGGACGTTCATGGTTTCCATCATTTTCTTAAGCTCAAGTTTTTTTTTTTTTTTAATCTGTATCCACTCTAGAGTCGCTGACCATGTCTTTCATCGTGGCCACCATCTCTGTAGTTATCTGGGAAATTGTTTCTGATTTGACTTTTTTTCTAGTGCCTCATTCATCTGCTTTGTTACTTTCACTGTTACCACTTCAGAAACTCCAGGTGGGTAGCTGCAGATTATTCCACCTCATGCCCCTTTGGTTTGCCATTGCTGAGCTGAAGTGTGGGGTTGGAAGTTGCTCAAGTGTCGTGTCATTTTCTTTCTTTTTTTTGTTTAATTCCTTGATTAATGTTTGTACATTGCTTATGTTGAGTAGCTTTGTTGCTAGTATTTAGAACCCTTAGGAAATGACTACTACTCAGAGGTGTATTCCAGTGTAACTGCTTTTTGGATTTTGAAACTGTTGCAAGATTCTTTGTCTTCGATTTATTGGGGATGAGAAGTTGCTGCCTATTTGGTGTATCCCCTGGTTCTTTGGCACTGGCTTATAGAATCTTTTATGACCCTTAGGCAGTCTCAGTCTTGGCATGTCAGGAAGAATAACTGATTAGAAGAATTATATCACGTTGGCTAAAGTGGTACAATCAGCAATAACAATAGCATCAAACACAGCCCAGAAAATGACAGACTGTGGTAACTATTAATTTACTATCTTTAACTGTGTGAGTTAGATTTTTGATTATATAGTGAGGTCTAAAACAATCCAGAAAATTGTATACAGTAAATAAGCCCTCAGTGTGGTGATTTTATCCTCAGGGGAAAAAATTTAAAAGGGTTTATAGAGTAGAAACAGAGAAGTAGAAAAAGAAGAAATTAGAAGAAAGGCTGGAGGACAAAGGAAGATCACACAAACTTTGGGAAGCTGGCAAAGACAGGAGGGAAAGAGAGGAGAGAGAAATAAAAAGAACAAAACAGCAAGACCAAAAAACTAGAAACAGTGTTCACACACATACAAATGAACACAGAAGAATGAACAGTTGAAAAAATAAAACAAGAAAAGAAACAAAATAAGAAAAAAAGTCCCCTTCAAGGTGTATCTTATGCTCTGGTTTCTCTTCAGATCATATAAATCTTTCGCCTTTTTGAGGTGTATCTTTACTGTCACTGGTAGAACAAAGTGGAAAGACACAGTCCAGATTTGTGTGGATTGATTGCAGCAAGCCAGCCATAGATGTATGGCAGGGTGGTGGATAATCTCAGCAAGTCTCACCTTTGTTTTCACTAAATTCAGGCTAGTTTCTAGTTGTGAGGCTGGAACCGGATTTGTTTAGCCTGCAACACTTCATGTGCCTCCTGTGGGCTTGAACCCAACTCCCTGACCTCCTGTGGAACTGAACCCTGCCACTGGCAGCTGCTAGATGAAGTCAGCCCACAGATGCTGACCCCTCTGCAAGATGGCTACTGGCCAGTCACTGTCCTGGGGGATGTCTGAACCCAGATAACTTACCAGCCACTGCAGTCTGCTGCATCTCTGCTCTGTTCCACTGGTATGTTTCTCTGTGGAGGCTCTGGAGTCAGCAGCAGTTACTGTGTCTCTACAGGTTTGGACTGCCCTTCCTAGGCAGTGAGTTGGGGCTCAGGGAGAAAGTACCACTTGCCACCTCTCTGCATTGAGGTCTGTCTTTCACTCTGGGCTTCAGTTCTCATTTCAGATCTTTCCTGGGGTCCAGGGATCCATTTTTCTCCTCTTTCTCATCTTCATATTGCTGTATTCCAGCATTCAGACACCAAATCTTGGAGAGGCTCGTTCACTACACCACCATCTTCCTAAAAATTTCCTTTTAGAACTGTAAACCAGTGTAATTGACACAGTGTAGTGAGAGTTCCAGGGGACCGGAACATAAACTGTGCTCCATGTAGAAAAGGTGGCTATATTAGAGCAGGGATAATTGAGAGAACGCTTAACATTTGTAATTCTAACACATGTACATGTTGTGCTTTTTTCTTTTTCTGTGCTGTTAATTGCACTGGGTATGTTTGTGTGGTGTTAGAAAGTGGCACCTTGCTGTTCTGTTGGCATAAGCTGCTGATTGAGTGGCCGTGCATCCTGTGTGTCAGTGCAGTGCCCAACCCTGCGCCACTGGGTTGAGCACATCTGGTCTTGTGCAGGATCTCATGGGTGCTTTTTCAGCCCCTTTCCCGCTTTGGGCATCATGCATCCCTATGATGTGACTCCTGGTTCAGTGCCTCAGAGCCATCTCTTCTTTACCAGCATGCAGTTGGTTCCCAGGAGCTTACTGGCAGTTTATTCTAGGTTTTGGACTGAAAGTCTGAAGTTAAACCAGTTCTTTTTTTCTATTATTGATTTGTTTTTACTTTTAAGCTCAGAACTCAATGACGTTGAAGAGATTTAAACAAGTAGTCATGTTCCCCTCTGCTTTCGTAATGATATGTGAGGAATGTCATTCTGTCTGTCTGTCTGTTTCTTTCCTTTCCTTTTCTTTTATTTCTGAGACAGGGTCTCACTATGTAGCCCAATGGCTATATCATGGCTGGCCCTGAACTCATGCTGTTTCCCTGCCTCAGCCTTCTGAATGCTGGGATAACAGGCATGTGTTGTCACACCCAGCTCTAACACCACTTTTTGAACATTTTGCTTTCCTAATAATGTGCCATACTCTGTGGAACACAGCTCACAATGTTGGCTTAGACCTATGCTGCTGGTGCTGAGCGGAGTACAATACCTGAGCCCAAGGAGAGAGGTGTGACTGGGGCCTTGTGCAGTGGTCTGTTTTCTAGGAAAGCATTTCCTGAATTGGGCACCTCTTAGGTCCCTCTGGGAGGTTGTCCCCTCACGGACTCCTGTCATTCTGAGAACTGTTTCTTAGCATGCATAGGGCTTGTGTTCATGACTGCAGTGGAGCTGCTCTAGACACCTGTGCATTTGGGGTCTGTGTGTCTTGATTACTTTTTCTCATTGCTGAGACAAAATACCTGATGCCTAAAATTAGGGAAGGAAAGGTTTATTTAGCTTACCGTTTTTGGAGGTTTCAGTCCATACTCAGATGGCTCCAAAGCAGAGTGGCATAGCTAAAGGGGGCTGTTTATGGCAGCTGCAAACGACAAGGGCAAAAAGGGGAAAAAGAGCAAAGCGTGCCTCCTTTCCTCTCTTACATAGTGTGCTGGCTACCTGTCCCTGGAACCCGGCCATCTTCCTCTGCTTGACATCAGGGCGTGTGACAAACCTGTGGGGGCATAGAGCACAGACATGGCAAGGGCCCACTGCCCAGCGGCGCTGGCCCAGGTCCTCAGACACAGGGGCCTCAGTAGGCCACGGCCCAGGATGCTGAAGGGCCATGGCTGCGCAGGGGCTGCTCCAGGGCCTCCTGGTCCGTGCACCCTGGGCGAACGTGAGGATTAGTCAGGTACAGCAGGAATCTGGTTGAGAAGTTTGGAAATGAGGTACTGAGTGCCCGGCTGTGTTCTTCAGGGTGGTGCCACAGGGGCTCCCAGAAAGTGGGAGAGAGAAACTGGTTTCTGCCTGGCTCCATGCCTGTTCTGGTGTGGCCCAGCAGGGCATCATGCTACCCCACTGTGTGCACACTCTTGACTGCATGTCAGGTTGTGTGTGTACTTGGTACCCTGAGTGGTTTGGTCACTCACAGTGTGGAGCTGGCTGTTGGACTAGATGCAGGTGGGAGCTGTGAGCGCAGAGTGACGAGAGACAGCCTGGGCAGGGTGAGAGAGGTCACAGTCTGGCAGCTCTAGCTCTGATTCTGTCTCCTTTACTCAGCTCGCCCTTCGCAGGTCCCCTTGGAGTTGTCCTTGCATCCTCTCTGTGAGGCAGCCTCTTCCTTTGCCCTCCCTGCTTGCCTGCTGACCCTTCCTGGTGTCTCTTGTGTCTGTCGTTTGTTTTCTTGGTGGTTGAAGCTCTGGGATGGCAGGGCCAGGCTCCTGTCACTCAGCCTGAGAGCTTCTGTGTTGCTCTGGCCTGAGGCTGGAGGATGTGCTCTCTGCACCCCTCTGTGGGCCAGCTGTGTTGTGATGTGAGGTTGAGGGTTGGGGAGGGGTGAGAGATGGTTGATGGTGGCTGTTGGGCCAGGCTGCTGGGGATGTGTACTGAGGTCAAGGATGCAGGAAGAGAGGGAGGCAGGTGGGTGTTGGCTGCTAAGGAAGGGTATAGGTGACCAGGAGGTCCACAAGGGAGGAGGGGACCTATGGCCTGAGAGCCTGGTGGGAAGCCAGCTGCTGGGGCACTGAGTGGGCAGCAGCCAGGGAGGGGCCATGTGTGTGGCCTGTGTGTGTGTACTGTGTGGCAGGGAGGGTGTCTGAGGGCCTGGGCAGTGCTGCTTTGCAGTGGGCCTTTGCCATGTCTATGCTCTATGCCCCCACAGGTTTGTCACACGCCCTGATGTCAAGCAAAGGAAGATGGCCGGATTCCTGGACTGGAGCCTCAGCACGTTGGCCCACTCCTCCTTCCACACCATCGAGGGGGTCATTGCCATGGATGGGACACTACAAGCCCTGGTGAGCACTGTGGGGACAGCACTGGGCATATGGGGCAGCTGAGAGCAGTGCTTCCAGAGCCATGGACATAGCTGCCTGTGATTCTGTACTGGAGCTGCATAGCAGTAGGATTCTTTGACCCCATGGAACACAGGTTCTTTTTCCACTGCTGTGGCCCTGTCTTGGTGAGTGCTGTGGCATGGGGCATGGCAGTGTCCTACGTTGCCACCAGAGGGCAGTGGTAACCTAGGCGCTGCAGCCTTTTGACGGGTTTCCCTCTGGTTCTGTCACAGCTTCGACCTTAATAAGAAAAGGCAGATGGCTTGAAATCTGACGTCCAGATGCGTGGGTTCTGTGTTTCTAACATCTGTGTTAAACACAAAGCCTGGCATACTCTGAGCAGCCTGTGTCTACTGCCACCTGTACCTGTCTTCTGCATTGTTTGTCTTTTTTTTGTTTGTTTGTTTTTGAGAAACGTTCGCTATGCAGTTGTCCTGCCTCAGCCTCCTAAGGTTGGGAATTACAGGTGTACACCACCACACCTTGCTTTTTGCTTGTCTTTTGCACTTTCTTTTTAAATTTTTAATTTTTAAAGTTTTGAGACAGGGTCTCACTGTGTAATTTTGATTGGCCTAAGATTCACTGTGTAGCCAAAGCTGGTCTCAAACTTGAGGTGTTTTGCCTGCCTCAGTCTCTTGAGTGCTGGATTACAGGTGTGTGACACCATGCATTTTCTTTTAGTGCCAGAGAGGAAGAAAGATTGAGTGAAGTTCCCTGAAGGGGCCAGGCTTGGGTGGCCAAGGCCAGGAAGCTGTGGAGCAGTGCACAAACCACCCTCCACAGTTTCAGCTTGCAGGCAGCCTCTCTGCTCTTTCTTGGGTCATGGCGATTGTTCAGAGCAGTGCTTGCCTTTTCAGGAACAGGGCCCCATGGAATGCATTTGAACCAGGTGCCTGATGGTGTCTCCTGTTTATCTGTCCTTTTGCCTTTCTGCAGGGCTGGGTAGGGAGTGGGTGTATGGGGTGCTGCTCTGTGCTTTCTGGTCATGTGGTCAGCTGTCTGCAGGGGCTGACCCCTGATCATGTCAGGAAGCATTCCTGGTGCTTCCACTGTACTCGTGGATGGGCCATTGTGGCAGGTCAGGTAGTCCTTTTGCCACACGTGTGTCCCCAGGCGTGCAGCTTCACGTAGCAGAACACGCATGGCCTGCCTGCCACCCAGCCCCTGCTGTGTGTTTGGTGCCTGGATCTGCCACTTCTGGACTTTTGAAGTAGGTAGAATCACACAGTGAGTGGCGACCTTTTGCATTTGGCTTCTTGCCCTGAGCACTGTGTCTTAAGGTCCATCTGCTACATATTGTGTGTGTGAGCCTCTCATGCTTTCTGCAGTTTCTTTTCCCTTCCCTTCCCTTCCCTTCCCTTCCCTTCCCTTCTTTTCCCTCTCCTCCCTCCCTGCTTGCTTGCTTTTTAAAGTGATACCAAAGGTTGATTCCAGGGCCTTCATATTGAGCTTCATCCCTAGCCCTTTTAGAGTACCTGTGTGTTGCCCAGACTGCGTTCTAACTTGCAGTCTTCCTGCCTTAGCCTCCCAATGTGTTGGTATTATAGGCCTGAGCCACCACATCTAATACTTTATTCCTTTTTATGGCCAAGTAGAACTTCATTGCTTTCGGCTTTCATGAGTAATGCTGCTGTGAACTTTCACACTGAAGTTTTTTTGAACTCAGGTTTTCATTTCCCTTGGGTGTATAACTATACATGTACACACACACTTTGTGGTGCTGCTGATGGAACCCAGAGCCTCTCGCAAAACATGGCTGCACACCTGTCACACTGTTGAAGTCTGGAGTGCCTGCTTGTGCCAGGCGGATTTTGAGTTTGAAAGTATGGGTGCCCTGGGAGGAGGCTCTTGTTCCAGCCCTGCATGGAGCGCCACCTGAGGAGGATGTGATTATGGGTCACAGTTTTATTGCCACAGCAGAGGTCAGGATGGACTGGGTCAACCTGAGGGGCCTTGGGGCAGGGTTGAGGGCAGGGTTGGGTGCCCTCCGTGTCATCAGTTTGTGCCTCCTGGGGATGCCATGCGTCTGTGACATTGGTCGTTCTGATGGAGATTGGTGGTTGAGATGGTTAGACTGAAGGTTGGGTTCTTCAGGAGTTTGGTGTGAGTTTTACTGAAAAGCCGTGAGGTCAGGAGCATAAATGGAAGGTCTGACAAAATGTTGCCAGCTGTTGCTCCACAGTGGCTCAGCCAGACCTGCCTGTTGTGTGGGTGCTCTCTGGGGTGGGGGTGAGGGCATGGGGCTGGCCTTAGGTGAAGTGTGTTGGCCACCTCCACCCAGGCAGCCACCTGTCTTCCGGAGGGGCTCCTGGCGTCCCACAGGAGCTCCTCTGGCCTTCCCTGGGAGTTCCCCTCCACTCTCTGCCCTCATCTCCTCATGGCTGCACAGAGGTCTGAGGCCAGCAGGATTAGAAGATTGTCTTGACTACAGCCTGGAGCCAGCATGACTGCCCAGGGGCCCACAGGCAGGCAGAGTCGTGAGAGTCCTGCCTGGGCTGGGGCAAGAGAGGTGGGGTCCCTGCTGTGTCAGTGGTCTCCCAGTGTGCAGTACTGCCTGCTAGCCAGCATCCTGGCTCAGCGCCTTGGGCCTCAGTGGCCTGCACTGTGGGGTCATGGGACTGTGCCTCACTTGGCTCTGCCTGCTGCTGCTTTCCTTCCTTCGTGAGCAGCATGGTTCTTGTTCCTAGATGATTTCCAGGCTTCCTGTTTCTCCCTTCCAGGTGGAGCCTGCACTGAGCTTAGGTTGTGCTTGAACATGGTGGATGAGCAGGCTCCCTGTCCTGGCCCTGACCCTAACCCTAGCACCTATATGCATGGGTTGGGATTCCTTTCTGTGGAGTTAAACCAGCAGGCGTGGGGAGGTGCTGTTTATTAGGATGTTTTCAAGACTCATATTCAGAAGGAGAGATGTTCTCTTTTCTTCCTTCTTCCTGAGGTATAAAAAGGTTTCCCAAAGGCTTAGAAAGCTGAACCTTCCACCACCCATCTGGGCATGTGTTGGCAAGGGGTGAGGAAGATGCTGTTCATCATGCCGTTGGGGCAGAGCATTTCTGCACTTGGCAACAGCACCACAGCTTTATCTGGAAAGATTTGCCCTGAGCAACGGTGAGCAACTGTCTGACGCAGCCAGCTGAAATCCTGGGAAGTAAATGAATGAAACCACCGTGAAGCAACAGTCCTGGAGCTCTGGCTTCTCGAAGTTCCCAGCATCAGGCACATCCCTTCAAGAGCCTCCTGGGGCTTCTGTCACTCCTGGGAAGTCAGAAGTTTTCCAGAGCCTTGCTTGGGTTTCTTTCTCCTCTGGAGGGTCAGTCAGATCTGATTAAGACTTGTGGGCAAGAGGAAATTGTGCTGAGAGGGCGGAGCAGTTTCGCCATAGGCCTGTCAGACCTGAAGGCAGAGGGCTGGGCGCCCTGTGCATGACGAAACTTGCAGGTGCATTGTGCTGGTGATCACATGTTTCTTTTGATGCACTTGGCTTCGTCTTTATCCACCTGTTCATTAGTGTGGGTTAGGCGAAACAGGTGAACTCCGAACAAGTCCTGTCGAAACTAGGATCTTATTTTCCCGGAAGCCTAGTCCTCCCTAGTCTCCCCTCAGTGATAACTTTTAAACCTGTGGGAAGGAAAGCAGTGTTTAGCAGCTTTGTTCACAGAGGCCCCTTTTACTCTCCTTTGTAGGGTGCTGTGGGTTAGTCCCACTTTGAGCGTGAGGATTAATGCAGATTGAGGCAATGTGAGGAAGGAAAACACCGTCAGAAACTAACACGGCTATCATTAAGTATGCTGTGTGTGTGTTCCGACTGAGAGTCATGCCTCTGCGGGGTTTGCCTGTCAGCTGTGAAGGTCATGGCACTGTGTTCCCTAGGATGGCGGAGATGGGACAGAAACAGATGCTGCCAAAGGTGGGCAGCTGGTGGTGGGCTAGTGGTAATAAACAATTTTCTGTTTACCACCTGTTAGGATTACCTCTTCTCTTCACAGGGAAGTGTCTCATTTTTTTTGTTGATGACAGGCAGACATCTTTTTAAAGGGAATTAGGCACAGACGGTATTAGAAGCTGGGAAAGCCTGGGAGGACCAGGGCCCACGGACTGGCCCTGCCGCATCATGTGGGCCCTGCAAGGAAATGTGTTGAAGCTGCTAGGTTCCCCACATGTGGCTGAAGGAATAAAAGTAGTCAGGGGCTCAGTATGGTTGGCTTTGCCAGGGTGCCTGCTCCAGCAGTTAGGAGTGACCAGCATTGTGTCTTGGAGTGGATTTGTGTCTGCTGACTCAGGGACACAGGTTTGATGGCATTTCTGACTGCTGTGTGGGCGCTGCCCAGCCTCTAGAAGCTGCCCAAGGCGCTGTCTTGGCCTTGGCTCTGAACATGCGCCGGCTACGCCTTGGAGTCGTCTCTTTTTTTTAAAATCGGTACCAGGGATCAAACTCAAGACTGTGTGCTTGCAAGGCAGGTGCTTATGCCGCTGAGCTAAATCCCCAGCCCCTGGAGTCGTCTCTTTGGGGAAGTACCTTGGCCCAGTCGTCCCCTCTGGATAGGAAGTGGCAGACCTCTATAGCCCCGTGGAAGGCTGAGCCTGAGCACTGTCAGTCTCCACCAAGCAGCTGGGTGGGCATCAGGGTGTTTTCTCTCTGGGTCTGGTGGCTCCTCAGGAAGGCTCCTGGGGGTCTGCTTCCTGGGCTTGTGCAGGCTTGGTGTGGCCTGGGGCATGTTGTCCAAGTGGCCCTATTCAGCTGTGGGGCTTGGCAGGGTTTTGGGCAGAGAGAGTGACGAGTGTGGGAATGTGTTGGTTTGGTGTGGGTCCTCAGGTGGGCCTTCTTGTTTTCCTGGTGGCTTTAGATAGATGTTGAGCGCTAAATGCCTGTCATTCAGCCCTTTCCATAGTGAGGGTGCTGTGGAAACATGTGGTGTGCCACAGATAGGCAGTGCAGGGTCCGTGCTGTCCTCAGCTTCCCTTGG